ATTTTTTAAGTCTGGAAGTAACCAAAACCTCTCAATTTCTTTTTCCTTCCCTTTAGTTAAAATCAATACTTTTCCCCCTTATGTTAATATACAAGAAAAATCTCTTAGCTCTGGAGAGTTCCTTAAACTCGGCTTCAATACGATGATGGTTTTGCTGCCTCCTGTGGCACTTGGCTGAAGAGAAAAGATTTTTCTTAAAGAGGGTATTAAAATGGAAATACTGGTTGCAAAAGAGATCCACCTATTATTAGAGGGAAGTTATTTATCCCTATAAAACTATTTTTCTCTTCAAGTATAGGGTAATGTTCTGCATCATTTATTAAGTAACGGTTTTCAGCAATGATTCAGAAAATGATGAAATCTTTGGCATCTGATTTCACAGCGTTACTGATTTCTGTCCAGTCTGCAGTTAGGACATTAAGAGAATGGACAACCATCAGGCAAATCATGCCAGGTCACAGATATAACAAACATTTTCACGGGTTTTGCAGTACCAAGTTTTGTAAGCTCCACTGTGGTTTTATGCAGATTTTGCCAGATTCTTCACCTCTGTGACACTGACTTTATAATATTATTATATTATATCTGTGTAGCTATTTCAAAATGAAATAAGCGTGGTCACTGTGCAATAAACAATTCAAATGCAAAGCCTGTTTTCAGAAATTCATTTATTTACAGAAATGTTAGCCAAGTAAATCAAGAGCCTTTGAAAAAATGCTCAGAAGCCAAGGGCTGCAAAGGAAAACAAGCCTTCATTTCTTAATTGCCTGGTCAATTTTAAACACCTTTTGCTGCTTCTCTGGTTGCTTAGGTTTTGATTTGCTGTACAAAAAAAAAAGACTGAATTTCATTCCTGAAGAATTACCAAAGGTATTTGCCAACCTAAATTACCATGTCAGTAAAGCTAAAGGAACCCATCCTTCACATGGCACTTCTATTTATAGATTAATTACATTTCTAATTCTCGATTTTTAAAGATGTGGCCAGTGTCTAAAATACATTGATCAAACACTGTGAAGAAAAAAAATATTTAGGTTTACCTCTGAGTCAGGCGGGTTCTCTTGCTCGCTTGCTAAGCAGGTTATATCTTTTAGGAATTGCACCTGTAATGAGAAGTTTGCTCGTGTGCAACCTAGAGCAGTTGGGCAGTGATTTAAAGACAAATGGGAGTGGATCAGATGGGCCAATCAACAGCTGCTACACCCCAACAGTTCCCTCTGACAAACTTGCGTCAGCTCTTTTTAAAAGCGAAAAAAAAGAAAGGTAAATCAGTTTATTGGAGCGCGCTGAGGGCAAACACCTCAGTTACCTGAGCTATGTGCTCTCTGGGCTTAGCGCTATTACAAAATGCATATCCGCAGAATGCTTCACCCAGGCTTGATAATGTTTTCATTGGACAGTCTTCATTTCTGAATGACGCCTGTGCGTTAGAATCATAGAATCATAGATTAAACTCGCCGTAGCACAATAGTAATAACCCTGGAAAATAGGATCTGGGAGAAATAACTGAGGGCTCCCGCATTGCCTTTACCTCTGCGACTACAGGGCTATGTCTGGCACCGGCAGTGAGGTGTGCACGGCGGGACTCGCTCGGCAGCGCGTGCTTTCAAACAGGCTGGGCGACCT